TTTGCCAACTATGAGCTACATAAACCTTTCCTCCCTTAACTTTGGGTGTCCTGTATTTTGTCTCAGCAATGAGAAAAGTAACTAAGATACACTTGAATCTCAAATCGATAGCTACTTCCTGAGATCCTACTGTGTGCCAGGCATTGGGCTGGGTACTGAAGACACACTGGAGAACAGGGCTGAGGAAGCTTCGGCTCCTGTGGAGCTTGCTTTCTAGGGAGGAGACAGGAAATCATAAAGGAAAGAAGGAAGTATCAGATGGCACACTTCTGCAAAAGGCCACCAGAGGGGGAAGGCTGGGAGAGGGATGGGGCCAGGCAAGTCCTCTTTGAGGTGACATTTTGGTTGAGATCTGAATAAGAAGCCACATGCTCCAAGCAAAGGCAACCTCAGACCCAAAGACTCCAAAAGGAGGAATGTGTTGATCTACTTGAGCATCAGGAAGATGGCCAATGAATCGATTGAGCAAAGAGGACAATGTTGGGTTGAAGAAAGGGTCAAATCAAGACCTCCTTGGGGCTGGTGAGATGGCTCAGTGGTCTAAAGCACTTACTTAGAACAAGCTTAGCAAAGCACAGGGACCGCATTTCAATCCCCCAGCACGACATGCCAGCCAGCCCCGCCCCCTGGTGGGCTGAGCTGGACACACACACACACACACACACACACACACATAAATAAATAAATAAATTTTTTAAAAAAGACCTCCTCACACAAGCCTGTAGACCATGGGAAGCATTTATTACTGGTACAGTGGAAAGTCTTTGAAGGGAGTGACATCATCAGAATTATATTTTAACAAGATCACTTTGATTTCAGTGTGCTAAACTAGGAATGCCAAAGAGAAAATTTACATATATAAGTCTGGGGCTTGGGGCTGTACCTCAGTAGGAGAGCACTTGTTTAGCATGCATGCGGCCCTGGGTTCAATTCCCAACACTGATATATATTATATCAGAAAGGGTCTTAACAACAAATATGGAATATGAATGGTATTTTAAAGCTGAGTGTCTTGGTGTGTGTCTAAAAATCTCAGCACTTGGAAACTTGAGGCAGGTTGTCAGTTTGAAGGCAGCCTGGGTTACGTCGTAAGTTTAAGACTAGCCTGACTTATGTGGGGAGGCCTCATCTGAAAACAAACAAGTAGGCTCTGTAGCTAGATAAGATCTTTTTGAAAGGGAGGAAGGATTGGCCAAGAACCATGCCAAGTTGCCAGCCATGGAGAACCCCAGCCCTAAATGGCAGGCAGAGAAAGTAGAAATAGCAAAGGATACCACAACTGGATCCAAAAGAAAGGACTTTCTTTAGTCTCTTACCCACTGGCAGAGAGGTATCTCTTATAGGGAGAGCCAGAATTGCGCTAATTGCCTGCTTTTTTTATTTTTTATTTTATCTTTTTGAGACAGGGTTTCACTATGTAGTTCAGGCCAGGCTTGAACTCATTTTGTAGCTCAGACTGGCCTTGAACTCAAAACAATCCCACTGTCTCAGCTTCCCCCAAGTGCTGGGATTACAGGTGTGTGACCCTACACCTGACTGTTAATCACCTACTATACACAGGATGCTATGCCAAGTGATAGGGAGGCAAAGACACACAGGGCCCAATCCTTGCTCTCCCAAGCAACTGGGAGATATGGACCTTTAGGCAACTAACTTAGGACCAAAGAGCCTAAGCTTAGTGCCCTAGAAGGGACAAGAGCAGCAAGAGCTCAAGGATAGCGAGATGTACCAGTGTGTGATGGCTTTA